TGTCTAGAGCCTAGAGGCTTGGCTTCTTACTTTCCCTTTCTCTCTCTCTCTCTCTCTCTCTGGTCAAATTAAGAAATAATAAATAAATTTTTTAAAGATTTATTTATTTATTTATTTTCATTTGTTATTATTTTTAAATTTGACCAGAGAGATAAAGGGAAAGTGAGAAAGCTAACTGTCAGTCTGGGACTCAAACTACAGTCAGCCATGTGAGAATCCAGTATCTTTAACCACCATGCCACCTGCTGGCCCTAATAATAAATAAAATTAAAACATTTTTAAGAATTATTTTTTATTTAATTATATTCATTGTCATTATATATGTATGTGTGTGTGTGTGTGTGTGTGTATATATATATACACACACATACAGAGAGAGAGAGAGAGAGAGAAGTTGACCAGAAAGAGACAGCAAGAAAGAAGGAAAGTGAGAAAGCAACCCTCCAGGTCCAGGACTCGAACTGTGGTCAGCCATGTGGGAATCCAGCTACCTTAATCACCACACCACCTGCTGGCCCCTAAAGTATTTTTTAAGTGGTGTGGTGGATAAGGCTCTGGACACTCCCACATTGCTGACCACGATTTGAGTCCCGGACATGGTGGCTTGCCTTCTTGCTTTTCTAATTTCTCTTTCTCTCTCCCCCTCCCTCCCGCTTCTTTGTCTCTCTGGTCAAAATAAAATAAATGAATGAATAGATAGAACTATTCTATTTCACTTTTTTATTTATTTGTTTTAATTTGACCACAGAGGGACAGAGTGTGAGAGAGAGAGAGAGAGAGAAAGAGAGAGAGGGAAAATCAGAAACCAAGTCACCAGGGCCAGTACTCAAGCCATGGTTGGCCATGTGGGGGTCCAGTGCCTTTAACCACCACGCCACCCGCTGGCCCCCAAATTAAATAAACCTTAAAAAAAAAAAAAAGGAGAAAATAGAAGGGACCAGCCTGTGGCCTGCTGGTCAGGTGGACGGATCCCATATGACTAACTGCACAGTTTGAATCCCAGACCTAGCACCTTGAAAAACAAGCTGGATGCTTGCATATGTCCAGAATCTGAAAGGAAGCATGAGGAGGAGAAGGGGTTGCAGCATGGCCGTCCCTCAAGTATGTGCTTCCTGTGAGTGCATCTTTTTTTTTTTTTTTTTTTGAGAGGTTTTATGCTATAGGGCACGTGCGCTTGCCAGAAAGACAGAGAGAGAAAGACAGAAGGTGAGAAATCACCCCCCCAGGGGAGATGGCCACACCGCAATCCCTTCTCCTCCATTCTCCTCTTGGGATCTTGAGCACACATGCACACACGCCCAGTGTGAGTTTAAGCCACCCGGTCTGGGACTCGAACTGCAGTCCACTACATGGGAGTCCAGTGACATAGCCATTACGCTAACTGCTGGTCCCGAGTGCATGCATCTTCTGGCAAATTCTTGTGTCATTGGAAAAGTCACAACGTATTTTTCTGTACAAAGGTGTACCATGACTTTTCCAACGACCCAGTGAAAAAATGAAAAGTGGTTCTGAGAATATGCATTATGTGGCTAGAGTAACAGAACTACTTAGTGAAGCGTGTAGTTTTACCCTCCTCACATCATGAATAATATGCTGATGTTGTTAGAAGGTTGATGGGAGGAACCTCTCACACAGTGGCGTGAAAACCCAGTCATCACACTTAGGAACCACATAAGGATCTGAATCATATAGGGTTTGTTTGTGTTTGAGAGAGGTTTTTGCAATAGGGTCATGCTCTTGCTGGAGAGACAGAAAGCAAGAAAGCATCTCCCATGGGGCATGGCCATGCTGCAGTCCCTTCTCCTCAATTCTCCTATTAGGATTTTGGTTATGCATGCACATGTACCTGGCCTGAGTTTTAAGCCTCTGGGTCTGGGACTCGAACTGCAGTTGACTATGTGGAAATCCAGTGCTGTAACCATTACTCCATCTGCTGGTCCCTGCATATAGGATTTATTTTTTCATTTTTAATCATGTTTAGTTTTTTGTTCTAGAAAGACAGAGAGAGACAGAGAGACAGAAAGAGAGAAATCCCCCAGGGGGGAATGGCCACACTGCAATCCTTCCTCCTCCATGATCCTCTCGGGATCTGGAGCATGCATGCACACGTGCCTGATAAGAGTTTAAGCCACCGGGTCTGGGGCTTGGACCGTGGTCACTTACATGGGAGTTCAGTGACATAGTACTCCCACTGATGGTCTCTGCATACAGGTTTTTAACAGCCCATTTCACAGAATGTTTTCATTAACTACTGTGCTTTTCATAGTGATAGTCCTTAGAGCAGTGATTCTGTTCTTAGCCTGTGGACTTAGTGCCCGCGGAAGTCTACAGAGTCATGTATATTCGTTTTCTGTAGACTGAGTTAATAAGAATATGTGTGTGTGTATCTTACCAATTTTTTAAAACTAACTTATTTTTATTTTTTAAAAATAAAGAGACAGGATTGCGGCATGGCCATCTCCTCTGGGGATGATTTCTCACTTTCCCTCTCTCTGTCTCTGTCTCTCTCTCTCCTGCAAGTGCACAGTTCTAAAGCAAAAATAAATAAATAAAAAGACTTTCAGGTTAGAAGGTAACATCTGATATTTTTCTAGTCGTTAGTATATTAAAATAAGTTTAAAATTGGGGCTGGCAGGTAGTGTGGTGGTTAAGTGGGCTAAACTCCCACATGGCCAACTGCGGTTCAAGTTCCAGAACTGGCTGCTTGCTTTCTCGCTTTTCCTCTGTCTCACTCTCACTCTGCCCCTCTCTGGTCAAATTAAAATAAATAAGTAAAAAATAAAATATAATAATAATAATAATGATAATAAAAGATGTTTAGAATGTTTAAAAAAGTTTAAAATTGCTATAATCAGAATTCTAAATCATTAAATCTATTTTTTAAACAAAATATCTGTTTAATATCAGTTTAGCTGCTGCCGTAATATTTAACTATCTGTCTATGTAAGTGTATACATTTTTCATTGCCAGAGGATGCACGCACTCACCAGAAAGAGGGATAAGGAAAAGCACCCCCTAGTGGAGTATGGTCACGTTGCAGTCCCTTCTTAGTTCTCCACTCAGTTGGGATTTGGGATATGCGTGTGTATGTAATGTGCCCATTGTGTGTGTGTGTGTGTGTGTGTGTTTTTCTCCAACGACTGGGACTGGAATTCAGACCACAGTCAGCCATACGAGATCCAACTTGCTTCACCACTAGGCTTTGGGACAGGCCATGCACTGTTGCTTTTTTTTTTAATAATTATTTTATTTAACTTTATTTATTAAGTTTGACCAGAGAGAGATAAAGAGAAGAGAGAAAGGGAAAGTGAGAAAGCAAGCAACCAGGTCCAGGACTCGAACCGTGGTTGGCAATATGAGAGTCCTGTGCCCTTAATTGCCGTGCTACCTGTGACCCCTGCACTGTTTAATTCTTTTTTTTCTTTTTCTTTTTTTTTTAAGAATTATTTATTTAATTCCATCTGTGATTATGATTTTTTAATTTGACCAGACACATAGAAAAAATGAGAAAGCAAATCTCTTTTTCCAGGACTCAAACTGTGGTCGACCATGTGGGAATCTAGCACCTTTAACCACCACATCATCTGCTGGCCCCCTGCACTGTTTAATTCTTTTTTTTCTTTTTCTTTTTTTTTAAGAATTACTTATTTAATTCCATTTGTGATTATTATTTTTTAATTTGACTAGACAAATTTGAAAAATGAGAAAGCAAACCACCAGGTCCAGGACTCAAACTGTGGTCGACCATGTGGGAATCTAGCACCTTTAACCACCACATCATCTGCTGGCCCCCTGCACTGTTTAGTTCTGAATGAGAAATCTTTTCTAACTTAATGACTGTCTTGCTGTCTGGAAACACAATGTTAGATTCTGGTTTTGTACCGCAAGTGTTTATGTTATTGATATGAAGCATTCATGGTCTGGCAGGCATTCTAGGTCCCAAGGTTTGCTGAACTAATAATGCTTTAAAATATGTGTGCTATTTCCATCCGTTTGTTTAGCTTTTAGATAAATAAGAGTTATATGATTTCATTCATTGCTTTGGGAAATATCTTTTTTTTTTTTGTTAAAGTTTTGCCAGAAGGTGTATGTGTAAGAGAGAAAGAGAAAGCAGACCCTTAATGGGAATGGCATTGCAGCAGTCCCTTCTCCATTTCTCCCTCCTGTCTGGACCTGAGTGTGCACCCCACATAAGCCCGAGCATATTTTCCTTTTGGGACTCAGACTGTGCAGTCAGCCATGTAGGATCCAGCCACCTTAACTACCCTGACACTGGTTGACCTAGCGGATAACAGTATGTTCGACTCTTGCTGTGAGCCCAGGCCCTGTCCTCGCTGTGAGAGAACAAAACAGACTTGCCTTGGCCCTGGTGGCACTTATGTTTTTGGTGGGGAAGCCATACTATAAGCATGATTATCATGCAAGTAGATATCTATAAAATAACGCTAGAGAAGGGCAAGTGCTTTTTAAAAAGGCCAAAGAGGGGATAGGAAGTGGTATTTTTTTATTTTAGAAAGAGTTGCCCAAGAAGGCTGTCTAAATAGATATTTATTAGACCAGGAAGACCTGAATAGAGTGAAAGCCTGGTTTTGCTGCTTGCCCAAAGAAGGGATTGCAGCATGACCATCTGCCCCAAGGGTGATTTCTCACTTCACTTTCTCTCTCCGTACCCTCCCCCCAAAAAAGTTCACTCTATGCTGTGTAGTGAAAGGACTTTACAAGAATAGAATTGGGGAGATCAGTCAGGATGTGGTGCTTATAGACCTTCAGGTGAGGGATGTTGGATTAGCAATGCAGGTGGGGATTCGGGAAGTGTTTTGAAGATAAGATCAACAGGATATGTTGATTGTGATGTGAAAGAGCAGTCAAGGATGACTTTGGGGTTAAAGAGATATTGGACTTGAGGGATGTACACAGTGTTTAGAGTGGCTATTTTTGTTTGTTTTCAAATGAGAGATTTTAAAAAAAATAATAATAGTAATTATTTTTGAAAGTTTATTTACTCATCCCTTCCATGAGTGAGAAAGAGAAACAGAGACAGCACCCCATAAAGGTCCTGCAGTCCGTCTGCAGCTTAAGCCAGCCCTGGACCATGGACATGCATGTGACTTATGTATTCAGGAAGGTCCCTGGATGTGAACCTGGAACCTTCCTATGTGGGTCAGCCTTGCAGACATGCTCTATACCATTGCTGGGAAATAGGATCATTACCTCTTTGCCTCTATTTGACTCCAAGATAGGTATTTTGACAGCATCTCACCACATGGCAATCCTTTCTACCTTCCCTCGCCTCCCAGTTAGCTAGGACCACAGGTGTGTGCCGCTGTACCTGGCCTGATGAGGTTGAACTAGAGCACACCTGGACCTCCCATGTGGCCCCAGCCAGTGTGCAGCATGCAACATACTCTCCTGTTTGTGTCACTGTGACTGGGCCTGCTGTGCTTATCTGAGCCGTTACCTAATAAGGAGGCATTTTATTTTATTTTTGCTTCTCTGTGTTTTCTTTTTAAATTTGGAATTGTTTTTATTATTTAAATACAGAAAGTGAGCACTGGCTTTTTTTTACTCACAGGTCTGAAAGCCATAATGAGCTCCTGCTCTACCCTCCAGTCCCCATCCTGTTGCTGAAGCTGCAGCTGGCCTCCTCTCCAACACACAAGGATTCACTGTGCCCATCTTACACTATAACTGTAATGCATTTTGTCTGTCATAGTGTGTGCATGTCCCTCCCCAGTATCTCTGTTTTTTAAGGGGAAACACGTACACACAAACACATATTAGTGGTCAGAGGTACCTAACCCACAATGGAATAGTAAGATCCTCTGGTTAGGAGTAATTTAATGAAAGAAATCAGGTGGCCAGAGCTGAAATGACCATCTGCATGGCTGTACTTTGATGTCAGAGTGAGGACAGAAGAAATAAGTCAGGCCTGTGTGGAGGATACAGTGCAAGTTGGGAGTCTCTCCATGGGACAACGTGGAGAGAATTTGCCCACCAAGCTTAGATTAGATAGATCAATGTGCCATAGTTTAAAAAAATAAATGCAAATAATCAGCAATTCAAACAGTATTCAGTTCTTAGCTTCTCTTACCAAAACAGCTCAAGAAGTAACAATCTAGATCTTTCCAGGAAGTGGAGGTAGAGCCCCTGGCACTCCTCCTGACAGTCCTCTGTTAGGCCCTAGAGGTATCTGCCCCATCTGCAGTTGCTGCTGTTGCTCCATTTGCAACTTCTCAGTCTCGAAGACGACAGGAAGAGCCAGGATCATAAATGAAGTGGTTGCTCTGAAAAGCCTGTACATTTTTTGAGCCAAAGTAGGAGAGAACAAAAGTGGCTCCAGCTACTGACTGGACTCTCTTTGTAACATCTCCTTCAGACCTCACAGTCTCTCTGACAGGATCTCATCTAGCTCCTCGTTGTCATCCGCTTCCAGCTCCTCTGTCTTTCCTGCATCACCTTTTGGGGGAGTTTGTCCGGGACGGGCACCCACGTGCTGACAGTGGTGGCAACAGCCATGCCTGTAGGGGGCCTAAGTCATGTAATAGTTCTGTAATAAAAGATATATAGATTATTTTTCTTCTGTTCCTTGTATTGGTATAAGCCAAGTGTACTTGCCAGAAAAAGATGGTAAGAGAGAACACACCCCAAATGGGGCATGGCTATGCCATGATTCTCCTTCCCCCACCTCTCCATCCCATCAGGATTCTAGGCGTGCACACACATCAACCTAGCACATTTCTCACACCACCAAGACTGGGACTAGGACTGTGGTTGGCCCTTGGGATCTAGCTCCCTATGCACAGGCCCCCCAACACACTATGACATGAGGCTGGTCCTAGGTTATTTCAAAATGAGAGTTAACGGTGGTACTAAGTGTAAGCTAATTCTTAATGTATTCTACCTCTGTTGTTATAGAAAAGAATTTAAGTGACATAAACTTTTGAATTTCTCTTTTTATTCTTAGTGAACAGCCTTTGCACCTTTTCCATAGTTGAAGATGGTGAAGCTAGATATTCATACTTTGGCTCATCACCTGAAGCAGGAACGCTTATATGTTAACTCTGAGAAGCAGCTCATTCAGAGGCTCAATGCAGATGTTCTTAAGACAGCTGAAAAACTGTATCGTACAGCATGGATTGCAAAGCAGCAGAGAATTAATTTGGATAGACTTATCATAACCAGGTAAATGAAAGATTTTCAGATGTTATATTTTGTGAACTACTATAATTCTATGCTGATTGCTAAGTATGAGTAAATATGCTATTTCCAATAAAGTACACAGTTTAAGGTAGATTAAATCAACATTAAGCTGAGTTTTTGCTTATAACATGTTTATAGTTAATCAACTCAAGCAGTGTTACAGAAAATTGTAATTTAAGCATTAACATTTTATACCATAAGTCTTATATCTTTGTATGTGTATATTTTATTGTTGCAGAGAGTAAATTACCATTGTGTTCTACATTTTCCCTAATATTTAATGTATATGTTTCCATGTTTTGATATTGTATATTTATTTTTCAAGTTTAAAAACCGCATTATTTAATTATGTTCATCATAATGAAATATAATGAACAGAACTCATCATTCTGTTCTTCCAAATGCTCTTTGATTTTTATTTCTTGTTTTAGTTCTTTCATTTTTTTTTTTTTTGAGAGTTTTTTTGCTATAGGGCACTTGCACATCCCTCCCTCTGACATCGGTTCCTAACTCACAATGGAATAGTAAGATCCTCTGGCTAGTAGTAATTTACTGAAAGAAATCGGTGGCCAGAGCTGAAATGACCATCTGCATGGCTGTACTTCGATGTCAGAGTGAGGACAGAGGAAATAAGTCAGGCCTGTGTGAAAGGCAGAGAGAGACAGAGAGACAGAAAGTGAGAAATTACCCTCTAGGGAGGATGGCTATGCCATGATCCCTTCTCCTCCATTCTCCTCTCAGGATCTTGGGCATGCATGCACACGTGCCCGATGTGAGTTTAAGCCACCATGTCTGAGTCTCGAACTGTGGTTGCCCACGTGGGAGTCCAGCAACATAGCCATTATGCCAACTGCTGGTCCCATTTTAGTTCATTTTATTTCTTGTCAGAGAGTGAGAAACAGGAAGGGCAACAGTCACCCTCAACAGGGTCTCACAACAGTCACCCTCAACAGGATCTCACATCCATCCCCTACCCCGGCCCTGTAGCTAGTGAGGATGTTGGGCCCGTGCACACCCAGTGTGTTCCAGGTTGACTTTGGATTTGAACCTGCAGTTGGCCATGTGGCTTCCAACACTTCAGTACAATACTGCTTGCTCCCCAGGCTGTGAGCCCCATGAAGCAGTTTTTAACTTTAAGAACAGTGGTGCTGAGATGCTGAGATACAATGTTGACAAGAGAAATTAGACACAGAAGAGTACATACTGTATGATTCTATTTATATAAAATGTTAAGAGGAAGGACTCTTTTTTTTGGGGGGGGGAAGATTTTTGCTATAGGGTGTGTGTGCTCACCAGACAGAGAGACAGAGAGACAGAAAATGAGAAATAACCCCTCAGGGGGGATGGCCATGCCACAGTCCCTTCTCCATTCTCTTCTCGGGATCTTGGGCACGCACACACATGTACCTGGCATGTTTTAAGCCACTGGGTCCAGGATTCGAACTGCGGTTGATTACATGGGAGTCCAGCGACATAGCCATTACGCTAACTGCTGGTCCCAAAAGACAGGACTAATCTTTGATAATAGGAATCCTGGTACCTTCTTGTGCTTAGGGGTGGTATTAACTGAGAAGGAGCATGCAGAAGCATTCTGGAGTGCTTAAAATATTCTCTGTCTTAATCTGAGTGGTGGATACATGAGGTGGACACGTGTATAAAAGTTGCTCAACTGAATGTGCACTTCACTGTGTTTTACCCTAATAAAAACAAGTTAGAACAAATAAAAGAAGAATAGTGCTGCTGTGCGCATTGTTGTCGTTTCCCCCGCCCCTCTCTTGGGCTTATTTTATTAGGATTTGTTTCCAGAAGTACAGTGCCTGGTTGAAGGATATGATCTGTAACTCATTACATACTGGGAGGTCGCTGTTGAGAAAGGTTGAACAGTGTACCTGTAATGGGCTTAGTGTCGATTACCTTTTAGTACTTGAATATTTGTAAACTTTCACGTTCATAAATAATTTTTTTAAAAATTTTTTTTGGAGAGGTTTTTGCTATAGGGCACATGCACTCGCCAGACAGAGAGAGACATAGAGACAGAAAGCGAGAAATCACCCCCCAGGGGGAATGGTCATGCCGCAATCCCTTCTCCTCCATTCTCCTCTCGGGATCTTGGGCACGCACGCACACGCGCCTGGCGTGAGTCTTAAGCCACTGGGTCCGGGACGCGAACCGCGGTTGACTACGTGGGAATCCAGCGACATAGCGATTACGCTAACTGCTGGTTTCCGCGTTCATAAATAATTTTTACCTTTTGAATAGTAGTGGTGTTTTTGTTTTTTGTTTTTGTCACTGGGTGTGTGTGTGCTCAATGGAGACAGACTGAGAGAGATAGAGGGAAAGTGAGAAATCACACCTGTAGTGGGGATGGCCATACTTAAGGATTTTGGGCACTCATATACATGTGCCCAGTGTGAATTTCAAGCTTCCAGGTGTGGGATTTGAACCATAGTCAACCACATGGGAATCCAGCATCTTAACTACCATGCTACCTGCTGGCCCCGTTCATAGTGATCTTATTGCTGGGGTTGTAATCAGCTGACTTCTCCATGTGACCGTATTGTATATGTGTTATCACTTTACTGTTATTATTAACATGATTTTGCTTTTTTTTTTTTTTTTTTTTTTAAGTGCCGAAGCTTCCCCTGCTGAATGTTGCCAACATGCCAAGGTTTTGGAAGACACACAGTTTGTTGATGGATACAAGCAATTGGGATTTCAGGAGACGGCTTATGGAGAATTTTTGAGTCGATTAAGGGAAAATCCTCGTCTTATTGCCTCCTCTTTGGTTGCTGGAGAGAAACTCAGTCAGGAGAGCACTCAAAGTGTTATTTACACCGTTTTTACCTCTCTGTATGGCAACTGCATTATGCAAGAAGATGAAAGCTACCTCCTTCAGGTTTTGAGATACTTGATTGAATTTGAACTCAAAGAGAGTGACAACCCCAGGCGACTTTTGAGGAGAGGAACTTGTGCCTTCAGCATCTTATTTAAACTTTTTTCTGAAGGACTGTTTTCTGCCAAACTTTTCCTTACAGCTACTTTACATGAGCCAATCATGCAGCTGCTTGTTGAAGATGAAGACCACCTGGAAACAGATCCAAACAAGCTCATCGAGAGGTTCTCCCCCTCTCAGCCGGACAAACTTTTTGGAGAGAAAGGCTCAGATAGATTCAAGCAAAAGGTTCAAGAGATGGTAGATTCCAATGAGGCCAAACTCGTGGCTTTGGTGAACAAATTTATTGGTTATCTCAAGCAGAATACATACTGCTTTCCACACAGTCTGAGGTGGATCGTGTCACAGATGTATAAAACCCTCTCGTGTGTAGACAGACTGGATATTGGGGAGGTCAGGGCAATGTGTACTGATCTCCTGCTGGCTTGCTTCATTTGTCCTGCAGTGGTGAATCCAGAGCAGTATGGAATAATTTCTGATGCCCCTATTAATGAGGTGGCACGGTTTAATCTGATGCAGGTATGCTTTTTGTAATTGATGTGACATTTAGTTCAAAGTCAGTTGATTGGGCGGTGGGGACGGGAACAGAAAACATGACAATGTTGCCATGTTCTTACCTTTTCTTTTCCTCAAACTGACCTAAGTCTTTGCTTCTTATGAAGTAAAAAACGATCTCTGAGATTTAAAAATATTGTAGTCCTAAATATTTTGCATAATTATTATTATTTTTTTGAGAGACTTTTGCTGTAGGGCACATGTGCTCACTGGAGAAACAAAGCCAGGTAGAGAGAAATCACCCCCTGGGGGGATGGCCACTCAGCAATCCCTTCTCCTCTCGGAATTTTGGGCATGCATGCACACGTGCCCAGTATGAGTTTCAAGCCTCGGGGTCTGGGACTCGAGCTGCATTCGGCTATGTGGGAATCCAGCAATATAACCATTACACTATCTGCTGTTCCCATTTTGCATTCGTTTTTAAATGGAATCCTTACACACTTGAATGTGTAGTTGATTTGATTTTATAAGACAAGTCTATCATCATTTTTTTTTTCCTTTTTTGGGTTTTGCCAGAAGACATGTGTGCTTGCTGTAGAGCAGCAGATCGAGCAAGTGAATATCCCCCAAGGAGAATGGTCTCACTGTAATCCCTTCTCCACTTTTTCCTCCCCTCAGCATGTACATATGCCCCACATGTTTCTTAAGCCACTGGATCTGAGCCTCAGACCATACAGTCGGCTCTGCAGAATCCAGCCGCTTTAACCACCACACCACTGGCCAGGTCTTGTCATCCTTTTCCTGTAATTTAAAATCCAGGATGATTGAAAACTGAGTGTCTTCTATATATCATTTGATAGCAAAACTGAAGCCGAACTAACATGAGGCTATTTATCATTGTTATTCCATTTAACAATAGTGAATACTCTTGTTTTATTGCAGAATTGTGAATTTGTTTGATTACACTGCCCATGTACTGAATACGTTACAGAAGTCCTCTGAGTGACCTTTCTAAGAGCTCTAAGTTCTGAAATCCAACATTCTTTTTTCAGAAAGAGGATTTCTGGATCTATATTAGCACTTTTCCCCTAGTTATCAGGACTCCTGAGCTCATGTTCTTTTCTCTTGTGGGAATCTTTTAAGCATATCTTATCACCCAGAAATATTGTTAAGAACAGTTGGGTTTATTCAGAATAGGCTATTTTAGGATGATTTTTTTTGTGTGATAAAAGCTTTTTTTCATCATCAGTTCTAAACCCCTTGGGGTGTTTAACAATTTATAGAAATTCCTGGAAATAATGTTTTAAATATTACATTATCTGTGAAACACTAACTTTTTTCTTACGGTACATGATGTATTACAGTTTTATTTTCATCTTTCTAATAGAGATTGAGTCACATATTCAAAATGAGTAAAAGGGGAGATTGTCCTAGATATTAAGAGGATGCTGCTGTACTCATGTTAGCTTCTAGCAGAGAGTCTTTCATGGGAGTGATTAACAGTCCACTTCTGGCATTAAGGAACACCCCATGCCCATTGGTGCTCACGTGCCTCATGACATCCTTGTCAACAACGGACTGCATGCACAGTGGTGCTCATGTAGGATTGTAACAGGTTAAGCTGCGTGGCTTAGGGCATAGTGGGCGACACCATCTGGGATTTAACTTTATTTATTTATTTACTGATTTTTTAATTTGACCAGAGAGGGACAGGGCACATGCACGCAAGAGAGAGAAAGTGAGAAAGCAAGCTGCCAGATCTGGGATTTGAACCACAGTTGGCCACGTGAGAATCCAGCGCCCTTAACCACCACGCTACCCTCTGGCTCCTTGTAGGAGTATTTTTACCCCTCCCCCCGTTTTATTTTTGTGAAGATTTATTTTCTTCTTTATTCATGAAGGGGTGTGTGTGCATGTACATGAGAGAGAGGAAGGACCCAGTTACACTTTTCTTCCATTCATCTGTAGCATCAGGATCCTGGGCATGTGTATGTACCTTGTCATATTGCCAGCGGGGCTGGCATTCAACTCCAGTTAGTCATCTGGGATCTAGCCTCCTTCAGATTGCTTATCTATTGCACTGCGAGGCTGTCCCAGAATTGTTGCTTTAAAATCTAGGAAAACTTTTTTTTTTTTACTTTGAGTGCTTTGTGAACATTATTTATTTAATTAATTTTATTTGTCATTATTATTTATTTTTTAATTTGACCAGAGAAAGAAAGGGAAAGTGAGAAAGCAAGTCCAGGCCTGGGACTTGAGCCTCTGTCGGCCATGTGGGAGTCTAGTGCCTTAACCACCATACCATCTGCTGGTCCCTGTGAACTTTTTTAGAGAAGCACATTTAATATTAACTGGAAGTAGTTTAATGAGTGTGTAACTTTTTGCAAATTAAAAATTCCTAAGCACATGGAAAGTACAATATCAGAAACAAATGTACTTTTATTTCTTGCTGTTGGTATTAGATGTGTTGAAATTATAGCAGACATTTCTTTTTACTCTCTATAACTCAGTCTAAAAGCAGTAAAAGCCGACATTGACAGGATGCACTTTTTGCTTTGTTCTTCTTTAATACACGATAGAACACATGTAAGTAGCCTCCACAAGTTCAGTCACACTGCGATACTCTTCCAGTCCTCCAACCAGTCAGATCTTGGGCAGTCGTGCACGTGCTTGGTATATTTCTGGCTAACTGGACCAGGGACTTGAACTGGGATTGCCATGTGGGATTTGCCCTTTTCTGAGCAGTGCATTACCTCTGTGCCACAGAGCCAGCTCAGAGATACATTTATTGAGGACCCTGTTTCTCATGCTTGGTCAGGTGGTGTGAACAGTATTATGAAATAGATGTTCAGAAAGAGGAATGTGTGAGTATCTATAGCCTGTGTCTCCCTACCACTGCTTTGGGTTGCAGGTTGGCCGTCTTTTGCAGCAGTTAGCAATGACGGGCTCTGAAGAGGGAGATCCTCGGACAAAAAGCAGCCTTGGAAAATTTGATAAAGTAAGAATGAATGTGAAATGTTGTTCATAAAAAATTCTAACTATTAGGAAAGCTAACTCTTCTCTTTATTAAATTTTATCCTTACTCAATGTGTAAGTTAAATGTTCTTTTAAGTTAGCTGCAGTATTGGATTAACAGCATTTCTTTCTTCCTTCCTTTGATTTTTTTTTTTTTTTTTTGAGAGGGTTTTGCTATAGGGCACATTTGCTAGCCAGAAAGACAGAGAGACAAAGACAGAAAGTGAGAAATCACCCTCCAGGGGGATGGCCATGCCACAATCCCTTCTCCTCCATTCTCCTCTCAGGATCCTAGGCACGCACACACATGTGCCCGGCATGAGTTTAAGCCACCGGGTCCAGGACTCGAACTGTGGTTGACTACATGGGAGTCCAGCAATATAGCCATTATGCCAACTGCTGGTCCCACAGCATTTATCTTCATTTATTTATTTTTAGATTTTCGCTCTAGGGTGCATGTGCTCACTGGAGAGACAGAACAGAAAGCGAAAAATCACCCCCCAGGGCCACGCCACTCACTGTCTTCTTCTCCATTCTCCTCTCGGGATTGTGAGCATGCACACACATGTGCCCAGCATGATTTTTAAGCCGCCAGTTCTGGACTCAAACCGTGTTGACCACGTGGGAGTCCAGCAACATAACCTTTATGCCATCTCCCTAGATTAGCAGCATTTAAAGGAAGATGTTACTAAAGGTTATTAACTCTCACAGGAGTATTGAGGAGATATCATTGTAATGAAAATCAAAGAGCTATTAAGGTTATTTTATTTTAAAAAGCTTATGTTAAAAAAATTACCACCAAATCAAATCTGTGGGCATGTGAATTAGCAATAATTGCTTAATTTTTTTTCGTTCTCTCCTTTTTGTTTAATTGCCTTAGAGCATGCATACTCTCCAGAGAGAGAGACAGGAAGAGGGAGAAAGCATCCCCCCAGTGGGTTGTGGTCATGCTATAATCCTTTTCCTTCATTTGTCCATCCTGCTGGGATATTGGGCACATGCATGTGCACACACACACACACACACACACACACACACACACACACACCATGTTTCTCAAGCTGCCCAGGCCAAGATTTGAACCACAGTTGGTCATGTTGTATCTGGTTTCCTTAACCACTAGGTAATGGGGCTTTTTTTTTTTTTT